CAATGTTTTTGAAATACCCTGATTACGATACCCAAATTCAGACCCAGAGTATCTCGAGTTCAACGTTTCAAGTCCCAATTTTGGTAAGTTTTTAGGCAAGCCCATTTCTGCAACTAGAGACTTGAGGCCGGGGGTGGATGACGAAAGCTAGCGGGGTAGGAGAAAGAAGGAAGGGAAGAGGTGAGTTGCGGAGGGACTGTCATCATCGTGTCGCGGCATTGTTCGTCCCAACGGGGATGCAACAATGATATATGATATATGATATATAACAATGATATATATGGGGGAGGGGGCAGGGGGGGGCCCTTTCGCGTGAAAAATCACGTGATGTCCTTGGGGAGCCCCGGAATACTTGCTAAAGCAAGAAGACTCTAGCGAGCTGACGCTACCTTTCGTGATAATGCCAACAATTGCCAATAATGATGAAATGTAAGTGAATAACGATGATGATGATGATGATGACGACGATGACGATGACGATGACGAGGACGATGACGATGACGATGACGAGGACAAGGACAAGGACGAGGACGATGATGATGATGATGATGACGATGACGATGACGAGGACGATGGCGAGGACGATGGCAATGATGATGATGATGATGATGATGATGATGATGGTGATGATGATGATGATGATGACGATGAGGATGACGATGATGATGATGATGATGATGACGATGATGATGGCGATGGTGATGGTGATGGTGATGGTGATGATGATGATGATGATGACGAGGACGAGGACGATGACGATGATGATGATGATGATGATGACGATGATGATGATGATGATGATGACGATGAAGATGATGATGATGATGATGATGCTGATGGTGATGCTGATGGTGATGGTGATGGTGGTGGTGGTGGTGGTGGTGGTGGAGGGAGGGGGGGGGCCCTTTCGCGTGAAAAATCACGTGATGTCCTTGAGCAGCCCCCGGAATACTTGCTAAAGCAAGAAGACTCCAGCTAGCTGACGCTAGCTTTCGTGATTTCTTTTTCTTGGTTTCTTGGCCTTGGCATCTTTGGCCAATCGTAATCCATTGACCTGCTTCTGGAAAGTCTTCTTTGTTAGATCCGCAGGGACACCTCAGGTCACGGGACGAGAATATCATGTCCAAGTCACTGCCCGTTGACGGTCAACACGTGTAAACCCACTTTGGGCTACACTGGTACACCCAAAATACCCACTTGATTCATGATACACCCAATTAAGATGAGAAGGTTTATTCCCGTGGAGTGCGAGAAACCGATGCACATCTATGCCAGCCAGGCACAACTCGTGAAGCCAAGACAGGCAGTTACGGCTTTGAACCCAAACATCACGGCTCACCACTGACAATGCTGAGCAAACAATCATGATTGGTATCCTTTCCATCCAAAAGCTGCGTTTCCCTCCCTGAATGGGATGGAAAAACTGCGTTTGAAACAACCGACTAAAAGAAATTGGTGTGCGCCTGAGGGCGCTAAGGACCAAACAAAAGATCCGCCCGCAGCGGGCGAAGGGGTCATAGATCCAGAGGTGTTAAGCAGCTAGCTTTAGCTATGCGGGGTAGGGGGGTGTGAGGGGGGCCGCGGCGCCATCGCTATTGTGGATGATTTTATCACGCTTTTGACGGGGTGCAGTTGAGGACAAGCTGGGTATTGTGTTGGATGTATGAATGTATGAATGTATGGATGCATGGATGTATGGATGTATGGATGTATGGATGTATGGATGTATGGATGTATGGATGTATGCATGTATGTATGTATGTATGTCTGTCTGTATGTCTGTATGGATGTATGGATGTATGGATGTATGGACGTATGGATGCCTGCCTGCCTGCCTGCCTGCCTGCCTGGATGTATGTATGTATGTATGTATGTATGTATTGATGTAATGTAATGTAATGTTATGTTATGTAATGTAATGTAATGTTATGTTATGTATGTATGTCTGTCTGCACGATTGCATGATTGCATGCATTTTTTTGCATGTATGCATGTATGTATGTATATATGTACGTCTGCTCTGTGTGTACGATTGTATGTGCGTATGTATGCATGTACGTAAGTACGTACGTATGTACGTAAATAGGTAGGTGTGTATGTATTTATGTGTATTTTATTCGTGTATTCATGTGTGCATGAAACTTATGATTGTTTTTGCAGTCCACGACAGAGACTCGATCTACTTCACTTGGCGACAAACTATGCATTCGTGAGCTTCATGTGTGTTTCTCACTGACAAGTGGCGTTGGCGTGGGGCATGGTTGCTGGCATTGGGCCTGCCTCTTCTATAGGGTCTTGGCGGGAAGTACCAAATTTGCCAGAAATATGGTGGCTGCAAATGTGTTGCAGCGCCAGGGTGGGCTCGGCAACTGCCTTAACTGCAGCCTGGCCCTCGGAAGTTGGCATGAAGGCATTCTGACACCAGGTATTCTGACACCATCTGTCCTTTCAGCACTTGGCAAGCGGTCAGAAAGCCAGCATGCGGCAAGATGCGGAAATTTCACATGGGAAATTACTTCCGGCACGAACTGGTAGCGCATGCTGGCCATGGGCTAGGACCACCAAAAGGAAAAATTGCTCAAAACACCTGGCGCTGCCTTGAAGGGCGCGACATGGTGCAATATTGAATGCCCTGAAAATGCGCCATGTGATGACACACGACGAGATGCATGCGCTCCCGCCCACCATCTCTGAGCTGAGGCGGCAGGGTGGCCAAACATCCTGTGTTCCTTACCGGCGCGCCTAGATTGGCGGTTGCAAGAATCTCGTTGGGTGAGGGGTCTTGAAGAAGGTTCCCAGCATCATGCTGTGCTACATGGATGCTGTTGATGCTGACCTGCTGCACAAACCAGCAGGCACCTGCTTAGGAACCAATAGCCCCAATGCTCAAACCCACATGCCCAATGATATCCATTGATCTCAGAAGGAGGCATAAACACGTCCAACAGCATCACGTGCGGAGTCTGCCGGCCATGCCCCGCATCGACCAGAACATCTTCCAAGTGGACGTCCCACAGGACAAAGTCCTGCTCTGACAGGTATTCAGTGACGGAGGCAAGCTGCGCAGCCACCTGTCACTAGGAGGCGGGCCAGGTTTCATGAAACATATGACTATGACGAATCGAATGTTGGGTACTCCAGGTCAGGTACAACAATTAGGGGAAATTCTTACATCATTGTATATCTACGCATGCGTGGTAATCCATGAACACATCTAATTCTATCGCTTAGGGCCTCAAAAACTCTGATTGATGATTGATTGGTTACATTTGGTTGAGTCTAACAATGGCCACCGCAATGCTTCAAAAGCCAGAACAGTCATGCATTTCTTAAATTACTCGTGGGCTACTTGTTCGGAATCTATGTTTGCTACTTATGTTGCTCGAGCTGCTCTCTTTTTGAGAACTCGATTTGCAGCGCCGGTTGTTTCAACACATCTTTTTTGTTCAATAAGTGGTTTTGAACTGGTTTGCCAGCAGCTTTCATTGTTGTATTGGCAATAGCATGTATTGGCATGTTATCTTTTCATGCCTTTCTTCTTCTCAATTGGCGCTTGACCTGTGGAAGGACCGCTTCTTTGCGTTTTTTGCCTGCAGTCATCCTTTTCTTCCTGCAAGGTAATGGCTCACAACGGCTAAAACATAGGCCAGGCCACGAAATTCACCCAACCTTGCCTGGTCTCTGGCTGTTGCCGGGAGCAGCTGCACGGCTGAGTGCCATGGTGTACCATAAGCCATTTGCCAGATGTTGGCGGTCCCAAGCCGTTCCAACGGGCGGACCACGTTTGGATGGCCTGAGTGTCCACGGCTGTGCCAACAACCATGACCACACCACCGGCGGTCACCCCACTTATAGCAACACTGGGAAATGCCAGATCTTCCATCCTGCAAACCCGACACGCCCAGGAACCAAGGAACGCAAAGCACAAGCTCTGTTGAATTCGGTTTTCAAAATAGGATCCGTATCCGAGAAAGGTCCACCATGACGAGGTACTTTCACCGCCACTCTTTCACGTTCACTGCCGGCAAAAAACATCTACCTGGGAAACTGTAGCAAGCAGCTGTGCTGATCCGTTCCGCGGCAACAGTTGACGAAAGCTTGTTATACGCCCGCAAATTGCAACACTCAACTTGCCCTCGTACAATGCCTTTGCAGTAAGCGTCACTCAAGAAACGCGTGACATGCCTTTTGCATCCTTTTGCATCCTTTTGCATCCTTTTGCACAATTTTTCAATTGGGGATGGGTCAAAACCCTGGTACCTAGTGAACCTTAAAATAGCTGGTAAATGGTTGTTCATCCCACTAAAAATGTATCTATAGGTCTATAGGTATAGACCCATACTAAATTCTTTTTCGCACTGTTTCTGCAGGTTCTGCCCTGTTTGGAATCGTCTTGGGGACAAGGCCTGGCCGCAGTGCTCGCAGTCGAACGGCAACCGGTACGGAAGTGCCTGCCCGGATTACCCTAAAACAGGGGTCGGCACCAGGGCCTTAGCCCATTTATTTAAGATTAAGAAAAAATCCTATACCAATTGATTTTTGTCTTTTTTGTCTCTTTTCCTAGCATATATCTATACCAATCAATTTTATACCAATCATTATTTCAATATGCAAGCCGAGAAATGCTTCTCCATTCCAGACACTCTGAGACCAGGCAACCTGTCCCTAGTATTTTTTCCACAAGAAGGTTTTTCGCCAGACTTGTTTTTACATCACCTAGCTAGCCTTTACAGAAAGGGACTTTTACCACCACGGCTGCTTTTACACCAGCCAGTTGCTAATTATCAAACCATCACCAACCAGTTTTTACACCAAGTTTTTGCACCAGCTTTGACAACACAAAAAAAGCACCAAGTTTTTACGGTGCTTCAATTGAAAGACTTCACCCGGACGGTGGGCTTGACGCAGGCACACATTTTGATTTGGCGTTCATTGAATTTAAGTCAATGTGTACATGATTGCACGATAGTGAAACAAGCAGATGTTTTCGGTGAAACATGCTACGGTTCAGCACTTTCAGCCTCAGAAGTTTGAGGTTCTGCGCCTGCCAAGATTGACAGCTTTCTACGTGTCCTTTTTCCACTATTCCAAGAGCTGATGGCCCCAAAAATGCGGACATCTCTGTCTGGTAATGAAAGCCTCCCCCCGAAACATAGGGATAATTAGGGACCATCACAGGTAGGATAATAAACACATGTGTATATCTATATATATATAACTATAACTATAACTGAATCACATATTTCAAACCACCAATCATTTTCCACTCGAAACCGGACATTGCTAGTGGCCCTCAGGAGAATCGCCTGCAGCATAGTTCTTTGCTTCAACGTATCGTTGGATGGTGCAAGCGGCCTGGCAACAAAATCCTCATTACACAGTCGCTTTTGACCCAGAAACAAAAGAACATAACATAATATAACTATACCCATCAGATTCGAAGATATTCGAAGATATAGCATCTAATGTTCCGTGACTTCTTCGTCTTCTTCTATTCCGGCCTCGCGATACAGCTTTGATCGCGCTCGTCTTCTCTCTCGTTCTGCCTGACGTCAAGATAAGGCTGTGATATGAAATGTTATTCAAGTGTCAATGACAGCCTGTCTTCTCTCCAGTAAGAAGTGGAATGGCGCAAGCGCAGCTAAATCTTGCTAAATCTTTAGATTCTCTCCACTCATCAACCGCAATGGAAAACGCCCCATCAAACCTCCATTTATATCCCATTATTTCCCATAAATCCCCATTATGTAACAATGATAAATGGAGGGAATTTCCCATTTATTTAACATTAACAATGTCATATCCCCATTATGGTCAAATTCCCATTATATTCCCATAAATTCCCATAAATTAATGATGATTTCCATTGATTTCCCAGCCCATTTCGTCCTCTGGAATGAAGTGTCGCCAGTGTCTCCACTGCCGCGAAATCATGATCACCTGCGCCCGGTGAAAAACATCGGCGCTGAGGCCGTGAGAGCTGAAGCCGTGGCTGGTGCATTTCCGAAAAAAAAACAAGACTTCTGAGACTTCTGATCTAGATTTCAAGATATTTCAAGCAATCCGAAACAAAAAAAACATGTTCAGCTTTTGGGTACCCAACATCCATCAACTGTGATTCATCCATCAAACGCACTGATTTATCCATAAACATTTTGGATTTGACCATCAAATAAAGATGAGTGATCCATCAGCAGATTGAGATTTAGCCTTAAAGATCTCAAAAAACATGGAACTACTCTCCAGTAATTTAACACAACTACAGAACATCACCATGTTTATTTGATAAATCATCGAACTAAACGGTTCATGGCTTCCAGCTCGCAAAACTACCACACATCGAGGCTAACGAAAAGATCCAAGCCATTCAATCTCCCCCGCACTGGGTAGACCTCCATGGGTTCCGTGTTTTGCAGATCTTCACCCAAAAATATCTGGTTGGTGGTTGAGCCCTACCCCTCTAATAGTGGTTTAATGGTGGTTAATACTGGTTTATAGTGGTTGATAATGGTTAACTGGTTGGTGGTTTTTCGCCAGCCCTCTGAAAAATGATGGACTGAAAGTCAGTTGGGGTTATGACATTCCCAATATGATGGGAAAAATTATACCATTCATGTTCCAAACCACCAACCAGATTAACCACTATTAACCACTATTAACCACTATTAACCACTATTAACCACTATTAACCACTATTAACCACTATTAACCACTATTAACCACTATAAACCACTATAAACCACTATTAACCACCTGTTCCAGTCACCACCAACCAGCATATGGTAAGATATGGTCTTTGAGATTTCACCATCATCCATGCTGGAAATCCCGGTCACCTTGGCCAAGAGCTGGAAGCGTCGGTTGCGCACCAGGAACCTCCGCACTGTGGACTGGATCTTCACCACATCCCGAGTGCGGTCCTCAGAGGTGGGGAGAGTTCCGAGATCCTTGGGTAAATGGGAGGACCCATGTTTTTTTTGGGGGGGGGTGGGTTTAGGGACATGTTTTTTTTTCGGAAAGCCGAAGATCGATAGGTTGCTCATTCAGAAAATCTAGCCATCTGGTCATTTGCTGCACTTTGCGAACTGGAAAACGGTCTACTTATAGGTGATTTAGCTATTAAAGACATTCAACGATTCTGATTTTCCATGGCAAACTGTGAAATTACCAAAGGGCACTAAGAAAACCACCTAATTTTGAAGGTCCGTTGTTGTTTGATACTACCCTCTGGTAAACTAACATAGCCATGGAAAATGGACCATTTAGTTCGATGATGTATGATGATTTACCTATTAAACATGGTCATTTTCCATAGCTATGTTAAATAAGCATAGGGTAAATTATTATTCAATGATACAACTGTCTTAAGTTGTTTTTGTCAACCAGGCAATCATGGAAGTTCAATCCACTCGCATGTTTCGCGAGTGATGGGTGGTTCTAACCATTTTACTTTCGACAATTATACATACATAGCACATACGTATTTCTAAAAACATGAAACATGTCATATGATATGATATGACATGATATGATACAATCAAATGTCACACAACTACATGTAACATGTGTATATATATATGTAACATTTTTTTCCAACAGCCTGATATCCCCAGCGCTGACCTTCTGCCCCGCTGACCTTCTCAAAGTTCTCACATCGAAGCCGATGGCCGCGCCAGATCCGTTGGATCGTCGTGGCGGCCTGCGATTTTCGGAACGGATGGGGGGATGGGGAGCGACTGATCCCCTGGAAAACATCTGAAAAAGTATGGGTCAATAGAGTCAACATTAATTGTACCATCATTTAGATAATCAATATTGATTAATATTGATTAATATTGATGAATATTGATTAATATTGACTAACATTGATTCGTACCAATAGACTAAGCCATCTGTGGTCCGGGTCTCAAATTGTGATACCCACCTGGATTTCACCCGTTCACACCATGAAAAGGAACCCCCCGAATTCGAAGCATTGGAGTTGACCCATGACGTCGGCTGGAGTAGCAGCGTAGCATGACATGGATGGGATTGATTTTCCATCGCCATGCGGAGAAAAAAACAACCAGTGTTCCATAAAACATAACTTCTTACGGCACCCATTCCACTAAGATTCCAGCCTCTTTTGCATGAGATTCCTTTTTGGCTAAATCCAAAACTGTTTTGTGGCTGACACTCCACTGTTCCGATGGTTGGAATCCCCACCGAGGCTTTTGTTACTCTGCCCATGCTCCACTGCTCCACGGTTCCAACCTCCACTTTCCTCTGCCAGAAGCGTAAGACCTGTGAGAAGCGGACAGGGTAGGGGACCAGAACTTATTTTAGTAGCCCACATGCTGGGATACCCATGTATACCCCAATTTCAGACAGATCCCAGAAAAGTTGGGGGCTAATGATGCGGAACTCTTGCAGAATCGCGATATTTCGAGCCAAACCGGAGGGATGGTGATCCATATTAGACCAAGTTCGAGCCATGGACGACTGTCCAATCTTCCCTTGGTGTCTAAAACTACCCATAAGACGGGTCCAGTATGGTCCAACCGTCCATGGTTTGCTGGAAAAATCCTCCTAGTTTGTTGCTGCTTGAGCTCACAAAATTCAAATATGAGTTAGTCGACTGGGATTCTCATTCTCATCCCAATTGGGCTAGAAGAATTAGAAGAATATAGATTGTATATATGTATATATATATATGTATAGTATATACATATATATGTATATATATATATATATATACAGTAAAAGTATATAGTATATATATATATAGTATTTATATATATATATAGTATTTATATATATATAGTATTTATATATATATAGTTGGACCACGGCCTTTAGACGGCCGTGGTGTTTTGTTGACGTTGGGGGGGGGGGTGGGGCATGTATTAACGTTCATGTGAACTTGCAGATGAAGTACATGCTATGCTGTGGCTGCCGGCGGTGCATGTATTCATGGGGTGGGGTGGGGTGGGGTGGGGTGGGGTGGGGTGGGGTGGGGTGGGGTGGGGTAATAACGTCCATGGCTTTCTCTTTCATAGGTCATGCTACGCTACTCTATGTTCTCTTGAGCTTTGCACTCATGGGTCATGCTACGGTACTGCATGTTCTCTTGAACTTTGCGCTCATGCTACGCTACTGTATGTTCTCTTGAACTTTGCACTCATGCGTCATGCTACGCTACTGTATGTTCTCTTGAACTTTGCACTCATGCGTCATGCTACGCTATCGTATGTTCTCTTGACCTTTGCACTCATGGGTCATGCTACGCACCCCTCCGTGACACAATATGTGTTCATGTAGTGCTGGCGTTCAAGCTTACAGAGTCCAGATCCTAAAAGGTTCTTGGAAGAAGTGGAACGGCTGCTCTGACCAAAAGACGGCTAAAAACATGTGACGATGAATTAGTTTCAGGTTGGCCAGAAACCCCAAAAATGGTAGTTTCGTGTAGGCAAAATGACTGGTTTCTTTCTGCTGCTTGTGAATTTAAAATGAAATCACACAAATTCCTATTGGCACGGGCACATCAAACATGATCAACAACAACCCATTGATCAAAAAAAAACGGCCATCTAAAGGCCGTGCTCCTAGTATGTATATATATATATAGTGTATAAATATATAGTGTATATATATATAGTTATATATATATATATAGTTCTATATATATATTGTTATATATATATATATTGTTATATATATATAGTTATATATATATAGTTATATATGGTTATATACAGTATAATATATGGTTATGTATAGCTTGCACACAAATAGATGGAAAAAACAACAATATCAGTCGTGAGTTTGAGATGCTGGCCCTCTTCCTGCAGAGCACGCCACGGACAAGCCTGAGATGGGATGCGGTCCCCTCCTCATTGCCTGGAGACCTGACCCCCAGTGCGCTTCGACGAGGCTAAGTCACAGGCGCTTGAATCTTCTGAGCCGCTTTGAAGCGCCTTCAGAGGAGATACGATGCCACAATCGCCATGGAAAAAACTAGATAAGTCTCACAACCTTTCGGATTCAGTGTTTGGATTTTGGCCAAAAATAGGTAGCCCAAAATACTAGTAGAATGGTAGGTCACTTGAAATTGACCAAGAACTCTGTTTTCGCTTAAAATTTTGGCCCGAACCATTTCATCGACAGAACATGGGGATGAGGTCAACCACTGGCCCATTCGCCTGATCTAAGGCGGCAATCTGCTAATCGTTGGATCCCCTCTTTTAAAAAGAGTGGACAGTGGGCAATTGGTCAGAGTCCCCAAGAATGGAAACATCATCGAAAAGGAGAAATGTGTCCGTTCATACCTCACTTGACCAATACAGATCTATACTGGTTGGTGGTGCAATAACCATCTTGAAAAATATGAGTTCGTCAATGGGAAGGATTGTCCCATATATTGTTGAAAATAAAAAAATGTTCCAAACCACCAACCAGTAAAATACAATTCCGAAAAAGAAAAACATTACCAGTAAGTTGGTCGGTGATTTTTACCGCATGATTTTTAGGGAGACTTCTGCAGCCATGGTGACGATGAAACGAGAGGAGTTAGTCACCTATTTATCAGGGCTGACTCTGGATACCCTCTGGTAAACTAACAGTTTGCGACATAGAAAATGGCCCAGTCGAAATAGTTGATGTTACCCATCAAAAATGCTGGATCTTTCCAGTTCGTTATGTAAACGTTTACCAGGCCGGGTAAATGTGTTTGTTTCATCCTGATTTCTTATATCAAATACGGGTTTGTCCAAAAATGTCGAATTCCATCGGCTCATCATCGTATTATCCTTTAACTTGAGGTATCTCCATTTTCAGGCACACCATGACACATCCCTATCCATTTTTCATAGGTGAAACTCGTGTGTTTAATGGCTAAATGCCAATTGATGTGCCTTATGTCAGTCACCATTTTTTGTAGGTTCTCATCTGTGATGGAACCATCAACTACTATATGTCACAATGTCCGGATAAGTTATAAGAAATCCTTGCCATCATGACAGTGACTTCACAACATGAGGTCGCAAAGTGAAAGTTATCTGGATTATTTCCGTCAAAATCTCATGAGATCCCCCTTTTACCACCATGTTGCTGAAATCCCCATGACATCACAATTAAAATATATTAAAATCATTTAAAATCACTATTTCGGAGACTTCAGCCGCCATTTTTCACATCATGAAACCACCATCTTTCATCATGTTTGCTGGTAAAAGCACCATCTTTCACCATTTCTGCGGGTAGAAACCCATGATTCACCCGATTTCTCGTTGGCTTTTGGTGGACCTCCTGGCTTTCTCGAACTCTGCACGTGCACGCCGGCGCCGACGCCCTGTGACCTGGAAATTCTGGCGGTTTACCATCCAAAGTGGTGAAGAAACATGGCTGAAGATGGCTGAAGCATGAAAATCAGGGTTTAAAGCCGTTAAAACTTGGGAGAGTCGGTTAGTCAATGGATTTTGAACATCGGAAACCCATGGGCTTCCTACATTAGGCCTTTGTGGAGCTAAACTCGAGCCGCACATCGTACCAAGGCATTGTCTGAAAATAGGCTACCCATTTTACTCTCGTGATGTTGATTGTCATGTTGCAGAAATGCAATAGATATCAATAGATAGGGGCTACAGTAGTCAAATCCCCCTTTTGGACAAATCCATGTGGTAAAGCCAAAACTATTGACCCAATGACCAAAAAAAGGTGTGTTCTTGGGTTTAAAACATCTTTGCGGAGGCACATAGTTCCAACTCATGGGGATTACCAAGATCTCCACTTAGCAACCGCAGTTTTCTAAGCTTTGTGCAGCCGTGCGCGCAAGCCAGCCCCGCACATTCCTCGAGTTGAGGCACCAGCTTCGATCGAAGTTCATTTCGGGGAGTTTCGATGGCTACCCTCTGGTAAAATGTGACCAGAAATTGACGAGTAGCTGAGTAGCTGTACTCAGTAGCTATGGAAAATCATCATGTTCAATGGGAAATCATCTATGAATAGGCACTGTTCATCAATTTTCTATAGTTATGTTGAATTCTCGGGGACGAACTATTCAAGCACCAAATGGTGATTTGGACCATCCATGGAATTATTAACCTGTGTTCCATACAAGGCTAATTCACCAGTGTCTATCATGAACCGGAATTGATGGTACCCTCTGGTAAACTAACATAGCTATTTAAAAAAAAAATCACATGTTATAGCTAGGTAAATCAACTATATATATATATGGCGTGAGAACGTAGTTGGGGAATCGCGCTTTGTTCTATATGGTCTATATATATATATATGTGTGTAGCCATGGCTTCAATATTCAATTACCAGAGGGTAGGTTTTTAGTACCAGTGTTCGATGATGTTCCCATTGGATTTTCCGGCAACCCTGCGATGAAAATGGTGACATCCTCCGTTTCTAAATGAACGAAATGGGGACCATGTTTCCTGACACCAGAGGGGTTTTGTTACATGAAAGTCAAACAACACTGGCCCTTTCCCAAACCAGGCTGACCTCAATTCTTTGCTTGACAGGGTGCCAACAAAAACAGATTGCTGCATGAGTTTCTGTGGAACATATCGCAATTTTCATCCCAGCAGGAATTACCTGCAATATGCGCTGATAAGACTGTGCATACAATACCAGATTATATAATTAACATTAACTCACAAACACATGTTACCTACTACATCCGCATATCCTCTACCTTTATTCTTTAACTATTTCCAGAAATATGTTTCACATTTATTTTGATTGTATTCACATCATTTGGATTGAACCTTGATAAATTCAACATGACAATGGAATCATCACATATTTCCACGTTTACCATCATCTACGTGTCTTTCAAAGAACCTGTATTTTACCAGGTCAACCGGAAATGGGGTAAAATGCAACACAACCGTTAAGCTGCTGGCACTGTTTTGAACCAACGCTACAGAGTAGTACGATGACATGTATGATACATGGTTTTACTGCAGGAGTTTTTACACCCCCCTCGGGCGAGCAGGGACGACTGCGGAGAACGAATAACCCAGAAAAGCATACCCTCGCGGGTAGCCAAATTTCTTTAGTTGGTTTTGATCATTTTTTTTTTATGCAGTCTTTCAAAGGTCCCTCTAAAAAGCTCAAGCCCGTAAAACCCAGCGCAGCGTTGCAAGGAAGGCACATTATCATGCCACATCTTGCGCTATGCTACAAAAGAAAATCATCGTCTACCTGCGGTTCCAATAGATCCAACGGCCGCCGGCCTCGTCACGGTAATACCAAGCAAGCCCCACGCCAGAAACTCCATTCTCGGCGTGCACCATAGTGATCACGATTCCAACTCCAAGAGGCATCCGGGCGACCGGAGCTTGCAGCCTTCGATGTGACTCCTGTGCTTGCTGCTTTTGCAGTGGGCGGCGTCTCAGGCTCCAAGAATGGTCGTGCTCCTGCTTTGGAAGTTGGTGGTTCGGGTGCAAGAAATGGTGCATTGTTGGGATCAACTGGGGCATCAGCGTGCGAGGCGTCTGCGCGAGCAGAGCTTGAGGCGGCTGTGTCATCATGGGTAGTGACGGATGCATCAGCTTCGGCTTTGCGTTTTCGCTCTGTGGTGGGCGCGACCGTGGGGTCGGCCTTATGACCTCCAGGACCTCCAGCCTTTGCAGCGGCGCTCTGCTTCTCTTTGCGTTCAAGGTTGCCCCGAACCAATGGAAGGTTTTCCTCATACACCTTTTCGAGGAATTCAAGAGTGCCATCAAAAGGAACTTGGACAGTGCCCTTCCAGGTCAACAGGCCACGGAATGCGCCACGACGGCCGATGTAGCTGACATATTCATCCTCTGTAAAAATGTGGCGGCCGAACATGAAACCCCAGACCTTTTTCCATGTTTTGCGGAACTCAACTGGGAAACCATCAACACCACGAGGCTGAGACATGAAAATCAACTTAGATAAGCAGTTTTCATTTTGGGCATTGGCGGCGACGCCAGCCGAGATCTGAGCTTTGGTCCTTGGGGGATCGGGGAGGTTGCCATATGCGAACATGTCATCAAAGATGCAGTCCTGCAGGTCCTTCCCCTCACCGTGGATGCGGTCGCAAAAAGTGACGTCGCTGGAGTATCTGTCTTCCACGTCCTCGTAGCCCAGCGCTCTTGCACGGCGATGCCTATCGCGGCAGTCTTTGAGGACTGCTGATTCCACGGATGTGATTCCCCTGGGGCCCAGTTCCCGGCGAAGCAGATTGGCTTGCTCATCTGTCAACGCCATCAGCAAGCTGCCGCTCATTTTCCCAAACATTCCGAACCCGGCGAGACTCTGCATTCGCCGTTCAAGGATTCGGGTCCTCCTGTTGGGTTTGTCGGCCTCTTTTGTATCGCCACTTTCGTCCACTGGGAGTGGCTCATATCCACATGTGGTGCATGTCACTTGGCCACTGACGTACTCGACCTGGCAGAGGGGGCAAGAGCCCATGAAAGGTTCGCAGTACTTTGGTGCAATGTAAACACGGCGCGTCCTTGCGGGCGGCTGGTCAACTTGCATTGGGGCAGTGGCTGCATCATCATCAGTGGACTTGGCATCGGGTCGCCCCGTGCTGGTGTCATCCATCGGGTCGTCATTTGCATCATCTCGGGCAGTCAGGGTGACCGCTCTGGATTTCGGTGCTGAGGCAGATTCCGCGCCTGTCCATGAGCTGGGCTCGAGATTGCTCTCGGCGCGGGACCAAAGCACCTGTCCATCTTCTGAGATGCTGACCAGAAACTGCGGTGGGATGCGTTCTGAACACAAAATCCCATCCATTTCTGTGCGACTAAAGATGACACCAGCTTCAACTGCTTGCCGCATTGCGATTTTGACTTCGACTGGACATTTTGCTCTTAATCCAGATCGATATCCCTGTGTGCCGATACAGTGTTCTGCCATGTAGATATGAGCACGGCCACTGTTGACTGTGTCACCGCCGCCTGGGATCAGGCCGTTCTGTGCGATGCTCTTCCAGCTGCTTCTCATCGTGCGATGGAAAACAACTTCAGGGACCTCAGTCATGGCACACAAGGGCACGCCAGTGAAGGCGGCTTTTCGCTCGGGGGATACTTGGTTTGAGCAATACACCATGGTTGAATTGGCATAAAGACCCCCTGCGGTTTTCAAGGCAGCTTCGGAATGACCCTGAATTGCACGGATTTTCACAGGATAATACGGCATGCCTAGGCCATTGTCGACAGGAAAATGGGAGATCTTTGCACACAAGAATTGGAACCTACTCTTGCCATGCTTGTCGATCTTCATTGCGGTGCCAAACAGGTTTGAGACAGTGATGAACACATCTGGGGGCACTTCCTTGCGGAAGGCTTTGGCAAAATCCTCCAAGTCAATCCAAAGGTCCTTGTCCATTGGCACCTTGGCACAGGATCCATGCCCCCTGCAAACTTTGTTGACACGAGTTGCAAAATCGGAAAACTTCTTGTCGACACGAGTCTGGCCAGCAATGGTCTCAACGTCGGATGCCGATATCAGCTCCAGCTCATAAGCCGTACCTTCAAAGAGGATCCCGGGCACATCTTCCCCGTTTGCATTGGTCACCATTGTATATTGGTATTCAGGCAAATGCTCTTCCATCCAATATACTTTCACGTGGCCGGATGCATGTTCCTCTAAGCGCGCAGTTGCCTGCGGCCGGTACTGGCTGGATGTGGCTCTTTTGTCGTCTGCGGACTCATCCACTGGAACCGGTGCTGCTTTCGGCCGCGACTTCAACATGACCTCAGCCGTTTGGACCAGGATTGTTGCTCTGCTGGGTGCAGTGGGCTCGCCGTCGCCGGCGGCCTTTGGAGGGTCTTCTTTGGGAGGCTCGGCAAGAGTGCCAGAAGGCATCGTCTTGGTGTCGATGTAGTCTTCGGTGTCTGGTTGTTGAGCTTCGACGTCCTCCTTGGTGAATGACCTGCCCGTCGGCGTGATGTGTCTTCGGGACTCTCCAAAAAGCAACTTGGTGATGCTTGCACATGTCTCCTGATAGGATCTTGGCAGCTCGTCCAGGACGGCGCTCATGTTCCTCCGCAAGTCATCCCATGTTTCCTGGCCACACTGAGTAAGCTCCAAACCAATTCGCCCAACCCGCCATCCGCAATCAATTGCGAAAAGGGTAGCTGTCCAATAGGCAGCAAGACGCGTGCGATTTTCTTCAGAGTTGGCGAAATGCCACTGGTCTCTGAATTCCATTGCATCGGCGTACCCCTTTGCTTTCAGCCACGGATACTTCGGATTGGCAAGCCCTTGCAGGCTGCTGGTTAGAGCTTTAAATCTGGACTCCAATGCATCAAAGAACTGGTCAAAGATAGGGTGGATGCCATAGTCAGCAGACCAAGGCGCGGTCGTGAGACCGGCCGACTGCAAATCCAACTCACTGGCCTTGTCGAGGAACCAAGTCAAGTGGCGCTCACAATCGTCCATGATCGTGGGCCAGTGCCCGTTGGGACCGTCGTACGGCCAATTTGGATTTTGGGCAATCCCATCCTCTCCTACCAATTCATTTCCGAACCAGGACAAATGCAGGTTGATGCGTGCATCAGGATAGCGCTCGCGGGCGTCCGCGGCCAATTCAATCCCACGTTTGACCAACTTCTGCAGAGTTTTGCCCCAAAGCATCTCATGGATAAACTCAGTCACATACTTAGGTTTGCGCTGCCGGTAATGCTCGGACAGGTCAAACTTCTTAAGTGTTTTCCTACGCCCTGTGATCAATGCACATGACGAGTCAGAGACTAAGATCCAGATTACTTCATTGACAGGCATCTCTGGCAACATGATCTTTTCGATGTGGGGCTCCTTTGGCAAAAAGCAGAAGCTAAGGTATTCTGCAAGCGGATCC